TTGCTACTCTATAACTGTAATTTTGCTACTGTTATGAATTGTAATGTAAATATCTTTTTGTTTTCCGATGGTCTTAGGCGACCCCTGTGAAAGGGTTGTTCGATCCCCAAAGGGGTCGCGACCCGCAGGTTGAGAACTGCTGCCCTAAGAGGCGGCCGAGCTCCCAGGAGGCGGCCGAGTCCCCAGGAGATGGCCGAGCATGAAGCACCAGTGTCCCTGCAGGCATGGCCGGGGTAGGGCAGTGTCCCTGTCAGCTCAGCGCCTGTGCCAGCCCAGGCCTGTTGGGAAAGATGGTTGTTTTGCTATTTCCCGCTCCAGGTGCTCCCGTGGCAATGCCTGGCGAGGCCCCCCCAGTCTACGTCCGCTGTAGTGACCCGAACGTTATCTGTGAGACCCAGAACGTGGTGAGTGCTGAGCTGTGCCTCGGGCAAGTCCTCACAGCACGGCCCGCCATCCCTGTGCCCGGTCTCCAGAGCCTCATCATTGCAGGGTTTCGGTTCAGTGGCCTCTTTCTAAGGTGCTGCAGGGCTATTTTGCACCTTTATGGGAGCGTCATGAATGAGTTTCCATTTTTTTCTGCTAGCAGATCAGTTAGTTGATTATCTGAATTTAAATTAAAAAAAGAAGCATGAGGCAAAGTGAATGAAATGCGAATGGTAATTAAGGCACTTATTAATTGCCGTTGTGCAAAGGAGAGCAGCCGTGATTGTATTGTGACTGGTTAGGAAACTGGTTACAGTCTCCTGAAGAATATAATTATGGAACTTAATATAAAATCAAGAAGTTAATGATTTTCTCTTTTGCAGTGAAAAAAAAAAGTGAATTCTGACTAGGACAGAAAATTAGCAACGTGTTCACATGTGCTTTCGCTTTGTATGAACTTAGGGGGCAGGGGGCAGAGCGGGGGAGGTGGACAGCGTTCCAGCGATGTACCCCCTGTCCAGCAGGGCCCCGGGGAGCCACGGGACGTGTTCCTGAAGGTGGCCAGTGGTCGCAGCCCGGAGATCAAAGACTTCTTTGTCACCATTTACGCGTGAGTCCGGGAGCCTTGCAGTCTGGGGCGGCAGGAGGTGGTGGTGAGCAGGCAGGCCGGGAGGCTGGGCCTTGAAATGGGGCCGTCCTCGCTCCGTCTCAGCTCGTGGCCGGGGTGGCAGTGGGCCTTTTGCTATGTGAGGGGACACCCTAGGGCTGGCAGGGGCCTGGCAAAGGCGCCCTCTGCTCAGAGCAGGCCAGCGGCCTGAGGGACACTGCGTCGGGACTCCACCAAGGAGAGACAGTCAGGCAGCTCCTGCCCCAGAACAGGGCTGGGGCCCCTGTCGTAGCGGCTTCCTCATGGAGCCTGAGGGAATTTTTGCCGGGGCCCCTCCTCGGGGCAGATGGAAAGTGTGGTCATTGTCCTTCGATGCTGGAGACGGATTGACTTGCCCCTTTGCGTCCCTCACCCGGGGGAAGTAACCCCGGTACCCTCTGTTTTCCTTGCCACCTGTTGGCAGCTCAGCGGCTGCTCAGCTCAGGCTGGCCGTCGAACCGCTGCTGCTCAGAGCTCACACTCCGGAGCGAGCTCTTAACCAACGGAGCCACTCGGCCGGCCCCCTCCTTGTCACTCATCCTCAGTGCCCTGTCGCAGAGCTGAAGTGATTCCTAAGCTGCAGTCCCGCCCGAGAGCCTTCCGCTTAGGACGGGAGGTGGCTGCAGGGGTGACGGCAGCTGTGCCCCAGCCCCCCGTCCTCTGGGCAGCCTCCTTGGCCCCTTGGCTTCTGGCTCGTGGGTCAGAACTGCCGTCCTCCTCGGCTGCCAGTAGCTTCTGTCTCTCGCAGGGATCGCTGGCTGGCAGCACCCATCCAGATATGGCAGGTCCACCTCCACTCCCTGCAGCGTGTGGACATCTCCTGTGTCACTGGCCAGCGGAGCCACCTGTCCCTTGTCCTTCGGGGGACACAGACACTTAGGAAAGTGAAAGCTTTCACCTCACACCCCCAGGAGCTGACGGTATGGCCTTCTGGGGGCTGTTGGGTCACTTAGGTGTTCTCTGGCCCTCCCTGTCCTCACCGCACCCAGGGACGGCTCAGGGGTTGGTCCCCACAGGCTCTCAGCCCCTTCAAGACGACAGTAATGCTTGGAGGAGTCTTCATTCAAATTGCCCTTATTAGATGTGCTGTCGTGGGCTGAGTGACATATAAATCCCGAAGGCCAATTTTTCGAATTATTGGAAGATAAATATTAATAGTAACTTTGGAATTAATGCAGCCACAATTATCCACCCGCGTAATGAGGCCTTCCAGACTCCCTGCCAGCGGCCAGCGTTTAGAGCCAGAGCTCATTAAACTCCCTCTGCTGAGGCAGCGCTGGCAGTTAGGGGGTCGCCATTGCATGGGAGGGGAACTTGCCCAACACAGATAGTGACACAGACTAACACGGTGGCATAGACAGTGACACAGACCATGACACACACCATGACACTGTGACACAGTTGGGGACCCAGACCGTGACAGAGACCATAACACAGTGACACAGACCGTGACACAGATAGTGACACAAACTGACATGGTGACAAAGATGGTGATACACACCATGACACATACCGTGACACCGCGACCCAGATGGTGACACAGACCCTGACGCACTCTGGCATGGGCACCGACGACAGGTTGGGTCTGGCTTCAGATCTGGCATTTTCACTCGAGCCCCTTCTGACCTCACGCCGGCCACGTGGGTTGTCCCCCCTGAGTAGCTGCTTCCCTCGGGTTCTCTTGGGCCCCTGGGTATAGGTGCCAGGAAACCCCTCTCCTGCCCCTTGGGAGGGGCTGTGCCTTGACCTGCTTCTCTGTTGTTCTTGAAGACGGACCCCAAAGGTGTGTTCGTGCTGCCACCCCACGGGGTGCAGGACCTGCACGTGGGCGTGAGGCCCCTCAGGGCGGGCAGCCGCTTTGTCCACCTCAATGTGGTCGACGTGGACTGCCACCAGCTGGTGGCCTCGTGGCTCGTGTGCCTCTCCTGCCGTCCGCCTCTCATTTCCAAGGTCTGGAGGGGCCATGTGGGAGGGCCCCATGGTACGGGTGGTGTGTCACCTGCTTGTCAGCCGGTCCCCTGACCCAGGTCCTCCTTCCATCCTCTCCGGCCAGAATCGGGGTGGGGTTGCTCCTGTGCTGTGAGCCCGTCATCCGGGAGCCCAGAGGGCTTGTCTGTCCTGTTTATGGAGACGTCCAGTCCCTGGGGCCCCACGTCCAGAGCGGGCTCAGGAAACACCTGGAGGAGGAGCCCACGCCGACCGCTGTCCTCGCCCCCACAGGCCTTTGAGATCACGCTGGCTGCCGGGGACGGGAAGGGCGCCAACAAGCGCATCACCTACACCAACCCCTACCCCTCCCGGAGGGCCTACCACCTACACAGCGACCACCCTGACCTGCTGCAGTTCAAGGAGGACACCTTCCAGGTGCGGGCGGCCGGCCCTCGGGCTCCACTTCCTCCGGGAGCCCTGAGGGGTGGGGCCTGAGGGCAGGCGGCAGTTCCATCTGGTGGTGGGTGGTCTTCAGGAAGCCCCGGGAGGTGAGCCGGAGCTCTGTGCGATGCTCAGCAGGGAGGGGCTGCGCTCTGTGGATCTCTGCCGTCCTCTCGGAGACCCCCACGTGTAGGCACCATTTTGGGGGTGAGAGGGCCTTCCATGTGGTTTCTCCGTAGTTGTACCCAGAGCTGCCCCACAGTCTGCCCTTCATCTGTTGTGAACGTTTTAAAGAAAGTGGCAGATCACAGGCTGTTAGATCACAGATCAGTTAGTGGAGGGTGTTTCTGCAGGTGGGAGCGAGCAGCTCCTGAGAGCGTGGGGACAGCAGGTCACATGGGGAAGTGAGGCTCAGAGCCTCAGGGTGCCCGGAGTCTGCCAGCCTCGGCAGGGCCCTGCCCCGCTTCCACCCGCCCCAGGCACGGAGGCAGGAGCCCCAGGCTGAAGGTCCTCTGTCAGCCGTGTGACCTGCTGTGCTTGAGAAACACGCGCCTGGGGCACAGAAGTTGCTGGGAGGGAGAGGAGCCGCCAACGTGGGCGCTAGGGTTGTGGTGCTTGTCCGCAGGTCGGGGGAGGAGAGACCTACACCATCGGCCTGCGGTTTGCGCCCAGTCAGAGAGCTGGGGAGGAGGAGGTCCTGATCTACATCAACGACCACGAAGACAAAAATGAGGAGACGTTCTGCGTGAAGGTCATCTACCAGTGAAGGAGCGACCTCGAGGGGCGGCCCTGCAGCCTGGCCGAGGCGGGAGGACGTCACCTCAGCCCAACCCGCCAGGGCCCCAGTCCAGCCGAGCGGCTGCCCAGGGGTCCTCAGGCTGTCGAGCTCTGTTGCACACGAGAGACTCACTCTCTGTGATGTTTGGATTTGCTTTTAGCAAAATGTTTTTTATGAATCATCTTAAATGATAGAATTATGTTTTTTTTACTGGATTTTGTACAACCATTTGCTATGCAACATTTTATATTGGTTTTATCTTGTATCTTTTTTAAAATTATGTATGAAACACTAAGCTTTGACTCGTTTTCTCTTTTGATGGTTTTCTTGAGTATTTTCTGCTGTCTTCACCACTGTCTACAGCACAAGCCTGGTTTTCCTTTGAGGGCGACGTGGCTGAGAGATGGGCCCGATGTGGTGCGACTCACCTCTGCTTCTGTTGTCAGATCTCGCTTCCGATTCTGTTCCCACCTGGGAAATCCAGGATAGCCTCTCCTTCTCAAGTCCCTTCCCTTAATCCCATCTGCAGAGTCCCCTTTCCCATGTTAGGTGACATAGTCACAGGTTCCAGGTGTGAGGATGGGGACACCTGGACCAGAACCTTGTCATGTGGCCACAGCTAGCTCCAAGGGGCCTGGGAAATGTCCTTCATTTGGGTGGTCGTGTGTACAGATTACTTAGGATGATATGACCGAGCAGGGTGCTAGCAGGTTTGGGGGACACCCAGCAGTCTGTCGCCATATTGCTGGTGGAGACCCTGAGCAGTGGGCCGACTGGAAGCATACAGGACTTGGTGATGGATGGTAACCGAGGGGAGAGCATCATGGTGTCTTATAACCAAAAACTTTATTCTCAGTCTGTTGGAAATAAGGATAAAATGAAAGGAAGGGGGAGAAGGTGAGCCCCAGTGGGCGGCGTGCCATGCCTTCCTGATCCAGGGGTAGAAGGCAGCAGCAGAGGGGGTCGTCAGGCCCTGGAAGGAAGCCTGAGGCGGGAGGGGGCCTCCGGCACCGGGAGCCTGGGTGGAGGTGATACAAGTATTGCTACTCCAGCTTTTTTTTTTCATAACTTTTTTTCATCCGTTTATTTTCAGTCTCTGTGGTTTTCTATCTGAAGTGAGTCTCTTGTAGGCAGAATATGTAAGGATTTTGTTTTCTTATCCATTCAGCCACCCTATGTTTTTGACTGGAGCATTTAATCCATTTACATTTAAAGTACATGTAATTATTGGTAGATATGTAGTTATTGCCATTTTATTATATATATAATTTTTTTTTTTCATATTAAAGAAGTCCCTCTGAGATTCCTTGTAACACTGGTTTGGTGGTGATGAACTCCTTTAACTTTTTCTTGTCTGGGAAGCTCTTTATCTGTCCTTCGATTTTAAATGATAGCCTTGCTGGGTAGAGTACCCTTGGTTGTAGGTTCCTTCTTTTCATCACATTGAATATTTTGTGCCAGTTTCTTCTGGCCTGCAAAGTTTCTGTTGAGGAATCAGCTGACAGTCTTATGGGAGCTCCCTTATAAATTACTAGTTGCCTTTCTCTTGCTNCTTTTTACCATCTGGGCCATGGTTACCTGGGAGTCCCAGTCCCGGGTGGCAAAGCCATCTCTGTTCTGCTTCCCATCCTAATAATTGTCTGGCTGCGTGTCCAGCACAGCCTGTCAGAGGTCCCACTCCACAGAGAAGTTCTTATAAAGTGCCCACAGAGGGAGGCCTCAAGTGTGCGCACGACCACCCTCCTGTTTTCAAATCCCAGGGAGAAATGAAAGGCTCACCTTCAGTCCCCTTGCTAGAGGAAGGTCAAAGCCAATATCAAAGTACCGTAAGTCAGAAATCAAACTCGGTCCTTGCCTTTTGAGTTAAAGTCCGAAGGCGTCCGAATGCGTCCTCTGCCGCCTTCCTCCTGACCTCCGGGCCTCTCAGTGCTGAGCCTGGCTGACCTCCCAGCTCCCCGTCCCAGCCTGGGGCTGCCCTTCTAGCTCTTAGACCTTGCAGAGCAGTTTCCGATGGGCTCACAAGAAAAACAAGCCAATCTCCAGCCTCTAAAACACATCTGGGTGGCCAGGCCCACTGAGTCACGGGCCTGTGAGGAAGGAGGTGGACGAGGGACCTGTGGCCGAGCCCCACCGAGGCAGCGTGACAGTTGTCTGCCCCCTGACCCAGCTTGAGGTCAGTCGGGGCAGGACATGTTCCCTCCCAGGGGCTCCGCTCACAGACAGGACTCCTACCATCATACTGGAGCCCTGGCTGGTGAGCTGGGCACCTGTTCTAGTTCTCAGGCTGTTCTTTTCTCTTTCGTGGGGACCCTCTGCTTTTAATTCCCCACTGCACCCGGTACCAGCCTGGCAGCTGTGGGGAGGGCTGGCGGTAAGTTGGCTGTTGGCTGTAGTTGCTTAAGAGTTTGCAGGGCAGACCCTGCCTCCCAGGGGGTACACACCCCAGCTGTGGGGCAGAGAGAAGCCGGGAGTACCTGCAGACCCCCACGTGAGGGGACAGGCATGACCCACTCTGTTTGCTGGAGCTGGAGGCTGGTCAGCCCCACCCAGCCGACGTGCTGAGGAAGAGGGTGGTAGTGATTTCAGAAACTCAGTGCGTGGGGCGTGGGGGTGGGAGGCTGCCCAGAAGCCCATGCTGGCGTCCAGTGCGCCCAGAACTGTGGCCCTGGCCACCCTTGTGTCCCACAGGCCCATCAGGACATCCGTGCACAGCACACCAGGGACCTGCAGGTCATCGCCGCCTACCGGGAGCGCACGAAGGCCCAGAGCATCGCCAGCGCGCTGAGCCTGGCCATCACCACCGAGCACACCGTCTACGCCACGCTGGGCACCGCCGAGTTCTTCGAGTTCGTGCTCAGGAACCCCCACAACACGCAGCACACGGTGACCGTGGAGGTGGACAACCCGGAGCTCAGGTGGGAGGCCAGGGCGGGGACGGGCTTGTGCCGAAGGCTGGGCTGGTCCTGTCCCCNGAAGCAAGAGAGGGCAGGCGACGTGGCCGGCTGTGGGGTAACGGGCGTGAGCTTGAACTAGAAGGTGCGTTTCTTGCTTTGAGGCCAGTGCTTCTCCACCCCCAGCTGGTCCCTCTGGCCACCGCGAGTGGATGGAGTCCGTACTCTGGGGACCGAGGCTAAGAGTTTTCATGAGGCATGTAGCCCGGTGGGTCAGGGGCTCTGCCAGGCAGTGGGGGAGGGCGACGAACGAGGGTTTGCTCAGGGAGTCGAGAGCCCCTGGAGGTCCCTATTCTGACCAAAACCAGAGGACAGGTGTTCCATTGGAAAGGCCATGGGGCAAGTTTGTGGAGTTAAGAAGTTGTGCGGTTTTACAAAGGTTCTCAGTGCTTCCTGGCTCAGCAGCGTGGCCCACATGATCACTCCGGAATTGTGTTTCTGGTTCCTTCAGAACCGAGAGAGGCATTTGTGGGTGATGCGTCTGAACACGTGATCTCACAGGCTGACCCCCGGCCTTGCTTGGCCCCTCCCCTTGCCCCTCCCCTCGGGACCATGGGTCTCAGCTCTGGAGCCGCATCTGGGCTGGACCTCCCACCCCCGCACACCTGCGCCCCAGAGACACGAGAAATGCTCTCTGTGGGCGGCCAGGTAAGACGTCCATGCCAACTTGTGGCATCAGGAAATCAATTAAATTGCTTTAAAATAGAGTGGTGGCAGGGAACCCGGAAACAGCCTTTGTTCACTTGCGATGATGGAGGAAGAGGTGGGTGAGTAAGGGCAAGATTGCTTACGGCCATGGGGAGCACTGCCATAGGAGGCTGCAGACACGAGGACAGAGTGGGGACCAGGCCGGCGAATTCAGGCTGGCGCTGATTTCCCGTGCCCCCTGAGAGGAAGGGCCCCAGTCCTAAGTTGGGGTGCTCCTTCTCCCCTTCCTGCCTGTGCTGGATTGTGAGGTTCTTCGGGACTCTCACGTGTCAGCTTGTGAAGTGGCACGGGCCACGCGTGGCTTTGTCACCGGCACNTCTTGGTGTGGGCCTGTTTGGGTTCATCTTGTTTGGGACTCTCTGAGCCTCCTGGACTTGTACGTCTGCTTCCTTCACCAGGTTAGGAAAGTTTTCAGTCATTATTTCTTCAAATAGTTTCTCAATCCCTTGCTCTGTCTCTTCTTGTTCTGGTTCCCCTATGATGTGAATGTTATTACACTTGATGTCCCAAAGGTCTCTGAAACTATCCTCATGTTTTTGGATTCTTTTTTCTTTTTGCTGTTCCAATTGGGCGTTTTCTGCTACCTTGTCTTCCAAATTGCTTATTCGATCCTCTGCTTCATCTAGTCTGCTGGTGATTTGTTCTAGTGCACTCTTCATCTTCATCTCAGTTATTATATTCTTCACTTCTGACTGGTTATTTTTTATGGTCTGTGTCCTTTTTTATGCTTGCTGTCTCTGTGTTGAAGTTCTCCCTAAGTTCTTGAGCATCCTTAGAACCAGTGTTTTTAACTCAGTATCTGGTAGGTTGCTTGGCCTCCCTTTCATTTAGTTCTTTTTCTGAAGTTTTCTCCTGTTCTTTCATTTGGGACATATTTCTTTGTTTCCCCATTCTGACTGCTGCTTTGTGTTTGTATGCATCAGGTAGATCTGCTATGTCTCCGAGTCTTGGCTGGGTGGCCTTATGTAGTAGGTGCCCTGTGGACCCTGGCACAGTCTCCCTGGTCACCTGTGTTGGGTGCTCCAGGAGTGTCCCTTGTGTGGGTTGTGTGTGCCCTTCTGTTATATTTGAGCTTTGATAGCTATTGGCACATGAGTGGGTGGGGTTGACACTCAGGCTGATAGGCTGTAAGGTTTGGCCACGTTTACAGTACAGGCTGCGTTACAGGGAGCTAACCCCACTGAATGGGATTGGCCCCAGTGGGCTCTGGTTGCTGTTGAGACCACCCTTTGTGTGTGCCACTTGTGTGGCTAATTGTGTGGTGCTCTGCTGTGGTCTGAAGCCAACCTCCAAGTATGTTGGTTCTGGGGCCTCTTGCAAGGGGCTCCGGTGCAGGCCCAGGTTAGCCACTGCCTATGACCAGCCGGGGACCACCTGGCAGGAGCTACAAAGCGATCTGTGGTGCTTTGCTGCCTAGAGGCGCATGGGAGAGGCTACACAATGAACCGAGGACAGCTGCCACCAGTAGCGGGCCTGGGGTCGCTTTGCAAAAAGCCAGGACACCCCAAGGCCTGCTGCCACCTGCTGGCTCCCGTAAGGTTTGTCCACTAATAAAGCCTCCTACAGCACGCAAGTGGGTGAGGCGGGGTCTCAGTGAGTCAGCAGGGTGGAGCAGCGCAGCTCACCCAGCCAATCA